CTGAAATGTGAAAGAGTCAGGACCTCCCTCACTCTGCGGTTTGATTTCTTTATACGCTTTCTCTTGGGACTAACAACAAGGATATTTTATGGGGAAAAACAGTACCCCCGCTTTAATGACCCGGCTCCCTTTGGTCTAGGTCTTCTTATACGAACTAGGCAAGGCAAGGCAAGTTTATTTGTATAGCACAATTCATACACAAGGCAACTCAAAGTGCTGAACAAGAAAGCATTAAAGAAAGCATTAAAATCATAAATAATCACAGAACATCAAAAAGAAAGATACAAATATAAAATATAAAATCCCTCAGTTGTATGCACAGCTAAACAGAACTGTTTTCAACCTTGTCTTAAACATTGTCAGAGAGGAGGCCTGTCTCACATCTTCAGGAAGATTGTTCCAGATTTTTGCGGCATGAATCTGAAAAGCAGCCTCCCCATGTTTAGTTCTAAGACTAAGAACGTGAGCTTTGAGGAAAATATACATACATATTAGAATAAAGAAGTAAACTGGGAGATTATTGTTGCTGCACAAAGAGTGTGTTGTAAATCACGCTGGTTATCCTTAAAATGTGTTTGCAATATTTGGTTCGGTGGCACAGGTACAGAGTTGTATGTATCTAAGCACACAAACATTTCCAAACCATCACAATCAGGGATAAAAGGGTAATACTTTGCATTTACTCAATTTAAAAGCAAGGTGTCCGAATTTGGATATCTCAAGAAGTTGTTACAGTATTTACAAAAACAAAGTAATCTTCAAAAGGCAAAGACAGTAAAGTACACACACTGTAGTTTGTGTTTGTTGGCCAAGATTAGAGAACCTTTATTCGTCCCACAGTGAGGAAATTTCAATGTTGCATCGCACATTCAGGACAGTAGAAAGAGCACACAGGGAGTACACCAAATATATAATATGAGTAACTGCTTAGCTGCAAATGCTTCAATATCAATGTGTCAATATAACTCTGATGTTGCAGTATTGCACATTGCACATGATTGCAGTCTTGCATCATCTTGACACCAAACACATAGAACACATAAAAGGAAGTGTTATGAGATTACAAGCAATACAAGATAATAGCAACGTGTATAGAAATTTTGTATAACCATTATTGGGACGTTATAATAATGCATTTGAATCATTTTCTCAGCTCACACTTTAAAGGTCTCACCACTTTCCGTCTGCGTTCTTTTCTGGATCTGCCTCCATGTCTGCAATAAGCCAGGGCCTGTCTGAGGCTGTTTGCTGGAGGCTTTGTGAGTGTGTGCTTGAGTTGTTTTCTCAGCCCGAGGGGAATTCTCCGTGACGGCCTGTTACTCCAAGGTCGGAGCGTGTGATTTACAGGCCAGGGTCGGACAGGTTTCGGGGTCTCCGCTGTCAAGGCCTGAGCTGCATGTAAGTGTACCATCGCACGCTGCTCCCTGTAGTGGGGTATGGGCTGAAGAGTAACATGTCAGATAATACTTCAGGTAAAAGGAGATTTTTGGACTATGTTGGAACTATATACAGTATGAAAAAACAGATAGTGTATCTCGATTTTGAAAATTTGTCACAACGTTTGTTTTGTTATTGGCGAGACATTTTAAAGGATTCACCTACTTCTTGACATTTTTGTCTTTTTGTCTGGCTTGTCACAAAACTACTTGGTGAAGGTCAAATTGTGAGCCTTTCCAGTACTTTTCTCATGGCATCTTATTTTGCAAGTGGACTATTGATATGTACTTTATAAGTATGTAGCGTTTATCTGTGAGTGAATGTGAGTGTGTGAGTGTGTGGATGCATTGCACGGGATTTGTCCTGTATTTTTTACTATGCATAAACTAAACTTCCTCTGTTCTTGCCATCCTAGTATTTTTGTTCATGCAATGTGGGACCCCATTTATGAGCTTTGCGGAGAAATTCGAAATTAAATAAATAATTATAATTTATTGTAACTACTGTATAGAGTTGGGGGGTGAGCACTGAATATGTTTTTGCTTCACCCCTGCAGTATACGGCCTTGTGTTAAATTTGTGGACCTGACATGAAAGGGCAGTTCTTTCCTAAAATTTGGGAAAATCCTCCTATAAACCTTTTAAGCAAAACCTCCTTCAACAGATAAGGCTTAAACACAGACAGTTTTGTGTGTGGATAAACTAATAAGAATTGATTGCACACATGAGGATCTGCGGTAAATACAGGAAAACGTTTTGTATCTCTTTTATCTGAGAGAGTGGAGCGCTAACCCCGAGCCGCCTCTGTGGGTGGCCAGTGTGGGCTCGAGCGGTCATTTATCTTTGGTCAGATTAAATCACATTGTCTGTAATCACAGCACAAGTGGAAAAGGTGCACTTTCATTACATCGATTACGTGCTGATGGATTTAGCCGAACCAATAGGCATTTTGTCACGCAACCACATCTGTATCCTCAGGGATTACATCCACTCAGACACAGTTTCCCCACACCAGATTATTTTCATGTACATGGGTAGGACAGTCTATAGTACTACAGTAAATTACATTAAATTTTACTTGAAAAGATCGGAATTTTGGTGTGCTTTTTTCATCTACTGTCTGTAAATAGATACTTACTTCTACAGAATGTTAGGTTTTGTTTCTTGAGGTAAATCAATGGAAAATGTTGACCAAGATATTAATATTACATCAAATCAAATAAAAAAATATCTATATTTCCCAAAAAACACAGAATTTTCAATTGACCAACATCATATTAGAACATTTAAGAATTAGAACAGAAGGAAATACAATAATAAAATGCATTATTTATTGATCTAACAGGTTAACCAATGTCTGTAAATTTCCATAAATGTTCAGAAATTCCAGCGTTTGCTCTATCAATCAATCAATCAATAATTTATTCACTTAGTAAAATTAGTGTACAAGGCAATTCAAAGTGCTTCACAAGAGCAATTTAAAAACACAATTAAAAATGCAGATAGCGGTCAAATTGCCTTGACTCTAATCTGATAACCTGTTCAAACCAAACATTATTTTTATTGATTATATAATTTTAACACTATTGTCAAAGCGTGTGTTTCGGGGTTGCCAGGTAATGAAGCCGCAGGTCTTGCAGCATCCGTCTGCAGGTGAAGGTGATGGATGGAGGCAGAAGCAGATCAGGCTATTTCCAGACGCCACAGATTAGAAGGATTAGTGCAGCCAACGGTGACCGACCATCTCCTGCTGCAGAAAATATGGACGCAGAGAAAACATTTGCAAACAATGAGGAAATGTTAACACCTATATTCCATTGCTCTACTCTAGGCTTTACCCTGATGTTTTTTATAATCGCTATATGCAAATGTTTCGGATGTACATGTTTCTGTTCTGTCAGATTCTGTTGTGTAAATATATTTGGAGATTTGGCGGCCATTTGGATTTGTTTAGAGTACCTGTTTTATATATTTACTGCAAAAATGGTCAAATATGAGGTCATATTTGGTTCACTTGGTCATATTTGGTTCCACTTGGTTCAAGCAATTGAACCAAGTGGACTTTATCTACACTTTAGTCCATTCTAAGATTTTTCCAATGGGACAAAGCCATTTACACACAGTTTGAGCAATTACTTTCTTATTTGTCATCACTTTTTGCAGTGTTTGGATATATCTGTCTATATATCTCTCTCTGTCTTTCCTTTTATACTCCTCCAGTGGCTTTGGACACTGATACGCTTTATGTTTGCCCCACACAATATATATTTATAAACTCTCTATGATAATATTTAGTATAGATTTCAGCACGAAATATAAAAGTATTGATTGTATGGGTTATGTTAATTTTGGTTTGTAATTTCATATGTGAGGTGTGGTTCTAAGGTTCAGGTGAGTGTGTGTGTGTGTGTGTGTGTGCATGTGTGTGTGCGTGTGTATCTCTGAGAGGGCTTTATGCTATTGTACATTGTTGTAATTTGAGGACATGTTTCTGGATTTTGTTTTCATGTAAGCGGGGACTACAGAAGGAATTCATTTTGTGGCTATAATCTGGTGCAGAAAATATCGGTCTTTGAATTGAATGTTGCTGTACATTGTCCCTTTCAATTAAAGACTTAACTAAAATAAGTGTTTAACATCCTGGACTATGGAGCCAAGGCCTTCAGAAATAGCACCCGTTTAAATTCACATTCATCGTATCAAATTCAACATGTCAACCTGCAAAGTAAAATTCTACTTATTATTAATTAGTTTGTCTACTTTTTATTGGAAGACCTTGAGAAAGTGAAGCACACTGTTATTGGCATAGGGCACCAGACGTGCTGGTCCAAAGACGGTCAAACCTCTGCTCACAAACACACTAAGCACTTGCAGGTTCCACATTAAAAGCATGTGTCATTTAAACCAGCATCAAATTGTTTAACACACAAACACAATGTCAACAAATGACCTGCAATATGCCATATTGCCATATTATCTGTTATTTCAGCAACTAATAGTTGCAACAAATAGTTGCTGAAATACATTTAAAAGCCATGATGCACTTTTTACACTTAACCAAAATGTAGATTTGGGAATTGTCTTTCAGGGTAGGCTTGGTCGGTAATGGCATCAGTTGACTTTTTAAATGCGTTTTGATCTGTGTTTTTAATTGTTCTTGTGAACCACTTTGAATTCCCCTTTATATGAACTGTGCTAGACAAATACATGTCGATTGATTGATTAATTAAAGGTTCAATAAACAGTTGCATATGACGCCATAGTATTGTAGTACACATAGTATTATACGTCTGGCATGTCCTATGATAAGTGTATAAAAACCATAATCAGTAGTAATGTGAACGTGAACAACAGAAAGACAAACACAAAAACAGTGTATTCTTCCTGATCCCCGTGTTTGGTAAACAGCCCAAACTTCAAGGTGACCCCGTGTTGCAGTCCATTCACAAAATGCGTAGTTTTAGTGTGAAGCGCCAGTGCGGAAGTGCTCGTGCTGGAGGCGCGCTTGTCTCCGGCTGCAGCAGCTGATTCGAGGCGCTCTCTGCGTACGGGACTTTTCCTGCATCACTTCCTTCTCGAGCCGTGAGATGTGCGGCAGTCCGGGGAGCGGACCAGAGCTGCAGCCAGGACGCGCGCACTACACAGCGGACTCACAGTGCACGGGACCGGGGGCTTTGCACGGGACCAGGGGCTCTGCACGGGACCAGGCTCTGCACGGGACCAGGGGCTCTGTACGGGACCAGGCTGCAGCGCGTGCACCACTGACGGAATACAATGACGCCCTCCAAAGTTTCTGCGTGACTTGTGCTGACATATGGACGGGGTAACTTTGGACGCAGGGACGCTCTGCTGGCGTGGGCAAAGGGGCGGGGTCATGGCAAAAGGCAGGTTGATCTCATCTGCTCACTGTACATGGATGTATTATGAAAACGGATTAGGATACCGCCCCCCTTTTGCCCCATCTACTCTTCGACCAGTGGACAATCGTGGAATTGCATAGCAAACAATCACATCCAGAGATTGTACTATTTTCTCATTCCATCTTGCACTGTAATGTATGAACATTTCAGATGGAGGCTGGAAATGCTTAAAAATCATTTATTAATATGATGAACATGGAAGGCAATGGTGGATGAACTGTCTGATAAAATGGCTTACCACAAACTTTTAGAGTAATGAGAAACTCAGGCTCAAAGGGCCATCGCTGACTTTGGGTGAGCTATTGTCACCTGCCATATTACATTTGAACAGACTTACTGGAGGTCTCTATGGGGGCCAAACAGAGCAGCCCCACACCAGCTGCTAATGGCCGGACCAGGGCATACTCTGGCTCAGACCTGCCTTCCAGCACCTCCAGCTCCAATGGTGCCGGTGTGAGCAGGACCACCACTGGAGGGGTGAGGTACCACGCTTACGGGGCGGCTGGGGCATCTGGAGCCTCCACAAGTACCAGCAGGAACAGGTACGGTGGCCCTGAAGTTGGAACACAGATGATGATGACATGTGCAAAGAACTGTATCCGCTTTTTAGCACCGTGTTGTCTTGTCATTTCTAAAACTTTCAAAAAGTTTTATGCTGTCGTCTTTTACATTTAATATTTGAGTTCTCAGAAATTGTTTGCGACACAAGACCACCTATCCCCATGTATTACTTTGTCATATATGTATATAAAAATCACACGCCAAATACATTTCTGCTATGAGGAGATGGGGCATATTAGTTCTTCAGTTTTTAAAAGGAAGTCAATAGGCCCAGTTTTGCCATCCTCGATCTAAAATGTGAAATACAGGACAAAGTTATCGATATTGTTTCACTCTATATATTACAACATCAATAAAACATGACTCCGTCTCCTTTTTAAAGCATATCAAAGGGTTTTTATTGTCTTTCTGTGCAATGAACTCCCCACAACCCGGCAATCCAAGATGGCGGCGTATTCAAATGAATGGTTTGTGCTCAGTGGCGCATTGTGTCGGCATGTGCGCCGAAAGATTAGCAGAACTTACCTGGAACTCGCAAAAATCTATGGGAAACTCGCCTGTATTCGTCTGGTCTTCCCAGTTCTGCGCAGTGGATGATCTCCCAGGATGCGTTACGCCAATAACGAGTGTGTGGCTGTCATGCACGTGCACAGAGGCGCTCGGCCGCGCTCTGACCAATCAGAACTGCTCACCAGAGCGGGAGTTAGAGCGGAGTCAGACGGGCAGAGTTTGTGGCACTGAAGTGTGGACTTAAAGAAAACCGAAGGATTTAAGTAGAAAAAAAGTTCAGGATGACAAGGGACACTAAAATCCCCACAAAATCTGATCTTTATGAAAGCTGTAGGTTCTCTGTCAGCTGTTTTAATTTACATTGAGTCCTATGGGGAAAATTTCTGGGTAGTCCACGTGAATTTAGTCTGGTTTAGTCTGCAGTACCGCGAGAATCGCCTGAGCACATGCGTTCTTCAGCTCCAAGCTAGTATTACCCTATTCAGTTATTATAATAGATCCATGGCTCCCCACCACAGTCAGTATCAAAATCTTAGAACCATCTTTAATAATAATTTCTCCCTCAGGTCCATGGGAGGCCCCGGAGCCCGAGCCCAATCCGGCATCAACATTCCCAGCAGCAGTGGGGTGTACAGCTCCCCTGAGTCTGCAAGCAGCTCCCCGGAGGATGCGTCTGGGGAGAGGGAGGGCAGGTCTGGGACGGCAGGACAAGAAGGACCTCAGCTGCTCATAGGATCTCTACCAGCACACCTCTCGCCTCATCTGTTTGGAGGTAAGTCTAATGCAGCCTGTTTGTGTATGAGTCTAGGGCGGGTCGATGCAGGATAGGGGCCCCATGCTTATACAACAGACAGAAGCACGTGAGGTCAGAGAAGAAGTCTCGATTATTGCTTGCATTGAGCAGTGTTTATCTTTATCTGGGAGTGTTTGTTGTTGTCTTTCTTCTGGTATGTTCAATTTCAATTCAATGTGTTATTGTATAGCCCTAAATTCCAACAGTTTATCTCTGAGGACTTCACAAAACCGTTGAATTCGCCAACACAGATCAGAAAATCCACAATTCAACACAAGAAATGCAATGGTAGAAAACACATAGAGCCATTGGTCCATAAGAGGCAGATGACCAATGCCCATAAATGTTGTTGGATGTTGAGTGGAGTCTCCTGGATCATCACCACTGTCCTTTACGTCAGACCCTTTAGAAAGCACACATTATGCTTATTCCATCGGCAAAGCTATCTTAAGACAATCAAAATATTCCCAGGGACAGATGAAAGCCGGTATTGCAATCCATGTAATTGTTCCTTTCCCTTTTACACATCCTGCATGCATTTCTGGCCGCTAGCACACCCACACTGCAGATTTTTTTTTTACATGCAAAAGTGAATCTGGGTGGATTGGCCTTTTCTCAGCGAAAGCAAGAAATAATTCAAAAGATTATCCTGACAATGGGGAATTCACATTGGAACAAAACTCAGTCCGTATTCAATTTGAAGGGAACAAATGTGTAATCCACCTCTTAATATAATATGTATGTGTTTTTTTCCATTTAATTTGCATTGCATTGTGTCTCTGATCTTGCTTGGTTTTAAATGTACGTGATCTACAGAGGCCTGAGTTGAATTAGACCCTTGTCTCTGCATCGTCTTCTGCTCATAACAGGTTTTGGACATAAAGGAAATTGCATTAGTGATAACCACACACATTGATTGCCATCGCAGCATGCAGCCCCAGAGGCTTTTTGGGGAAAATCCAGAGAATGACATACCCACTGATTTGTGCTGAGTTTGAAAAAGAATGAAGGAGTTGTACATAGCGGGATATTGAATGTGTGAGCTGCTGAGGTTAGAGCTGCCAGACAGGAGGCCAAAGAGAAGATTTATAGACTGGAGGCTGCAGACGTGAGGAAGGAGGATGCAGAGGTTAGAATCATTCACAACAACGGCTTGATTAACAAAGTCATTTTACATGCTATTCTACATTTATGCTATTTTACATTTATGCTATTCTACATTTATGCAATTTTACATTCGTTATTCATACTAGGATTCCCAAAAAGCTGAAACTACTAGAACTCCCAGAACAGTTATTTTGACGGCTCCCATTCAAATCAATGGAATTCTGAAACAATCCCAAAATCAATTTTAGTTTTTCACTAGTTTCTATCATTTTTTTTTTACTTTTAATAATTGCTAAAACTGGTGAATGTAAATTAAAATACAGCAATTATTTTTGAGAGGCTACCAAATGCTAACTGCTAGCGAGTAAATAGTGCTATGGTAACAAGCACTCTCTTTTGTTTGGTGGGAAAACAAGCTGATTTGGCTCAGAACCAGGACCAGTCTTGAACCAGGACCAGTCTTGAACCGGGACCAGTCTTGAACCAGGACCAGTCTTGAACCAAGACCAGTCCAAGACCAGCACCTTGGAGAAACCCAACGTTGGTTGCCAAGTAACCAAAAATGGCAAATTTTACATCATCAATCCGTAAAACTCCTCACATTTAAAAAGTAATAGATAATTTCATAAAAGTAATGACTGCATGAATAAAATCTATGTATGGAAACAGAAAAAGTCACACAGTTACGGAGACCAAAAATGAACTTAAGTTCAGTTATTACACTTTCAATTTCAAAACTAAAAGCCGTCAAAATGACTGCTCTGGGAGTTCTACTGTTAAAAGTATACAATTATTTTTTTATTGTTATTATCCAACTGAGACTTCTGTTGTCCTGTCGTGAAATAGCTCTTTACAATAAGCTCTGACATAAGAAAATGACTGATGTGCAATAATGGCCTAGTTCGGTTACTCCCGTCAGCCCCACGTGTCTCACTCAGAAACTCTCTCATGGCTCACGGAGTAATTACAGCTGTATTCGTCATAACCGAGCCATCGACCCCCAAAGCATCAAACATCAACTGCTGACCTTGTTCTGCAGTCAGTGAGGGTTACTATTGTGCTATTGACACCACCGTATGAAGGGATCTGTTTAGTTTTTTAACATTTAGCAACATTTTAGCCATGGATTTCTTCGTACCTCTAGTTTTTAATTCAATCGTACATTACTAACCTTTATTTATTAACTTTAGTCGGGAAAGTAGCTTGTTATTCAGAATCAGAATAACAAGCTACTTATTCAGAATTTTTTATTGCTAAGTGCAAGTAACAGGAAGTCAAAAACTAGGAAGTTGCTTTTGCTCGCGGTGCCAACAAGTTATTCAAGTAAAAAAAATAGCAAGGCACGCATGAGATGAAGATAAAAGATATGCATAACATTTCTTAAAATTACTACAAAGTGCACTACGTTCACCTGCAAAGGAAAAACATCAAATCCAATGTTGAAGGGGTCATATGTTTAACGCAATTTGTAAATTTGTGAGAAACAAAGAGAAAAAAAACAGCTATATTTCAGAAAAAAACTGGCAACCCGAATGAGACCCATTATGCTCTCTGACTGGATAATCTGTCTTTAGGATTTTTAGATGAAGAATAACTCAACTTTAAACTTCTTCAGAAATAATATGTTTTTTTTACATGTGACCTGTTATCCGGAGTCACGTATACAAGAAGAGGATGTAACTTCAAACACAAATATTACATACTTTCTATTAACATTTCAATTAAACGTGAAGGTGTGCAGGCTGGGTTGAAACGGCTTTTGCCTCTGTCCCTGATGAGATACTGAAAAAACAGCTCGACCATGAAACCTGGCTTCAACACAAACCCAGAGCGGCTCACTGAGCAGGGAGCGCTGTACTACGGCAGCTAAAGAATTGTTTAACATAATTTGATTGAAAGGGTGAGGGCTCTGCCAATATATTATAAAGTAGAAGGAACACTGCGGACAAGCAAGAACAAGACCTGTGCCTGGGCCTGCACCGTTATAAAGACATATCTAATTGTAATCACGTTTTGATTTGTGTTTCCTGTTATAAAACATAATGAAAGTGCGCTAGGAGAATTTAGATTTGATTGTAAACTGAAATCCGACATTGCTTTTTAACTTCAATTAAATGCGTTGAAATGAATAACAAAAATTCATCACTCTAAACCAGGCATGTCAAACTCATTTTGGTCGCAGGCTCAATCTAAAAACATAAGAGCTGGTTGGGGCCAGATGTTTAAAAGTTTGTGTGTTTTGGATTTAATTACAACTGGGCCAAGTATCTAGAAGATGTGTATTGGAAGACTGATAGTTAAGAAAATAATAGTTAAAATATTATGGTGCACACTGGGGTAGTCTTGCACAGTTTTTCCAATGTGGTTTTACTGCAAATGGCAAATAAATTATTGAATCTTGAATGAAGTAACTATAATTTGTAATGACATTATAGTTCACATTTTAGATCAGATTCAACTATATGCTTGTTGCCCCACGGCTTTAAAACAAAGTATAACACGCCATAGTAGCCAACCATCATCAATGTTGCAAGTTACTGCGATAAAGATAATTGAAAATCATTTCGGGGCCACACAAAAATGGTCTTGCGGGCCGGATTTGGCCCATAGGCCTGAGTTTGACATGCCTGCTCTAAACGCAGCGATAACTAGATGTATTCAACATGCATCACAATAAATATGCTGTTTGTTGAGGACATTGTATTCTCTCCTATTGGCTGATAAAATGCAGTTTTTGATTTGATTCTGATTAATCGGCAGCCCAATATGTTCCTCATTTGCTCTGATAGTTCTGACATAATTGGTTTAAAACTTAATGAACCAGGAGCTGTGTCTGATCGCTCTGGACATGCACTTTTTGTAATATTTAAAATTTTTGAACTTCAGATATTTGTGACTTTTGCAAACGACCAGGGAAAATGCTTGACATAGTTCTCTGGTTGGGCTCATTTCTCGACACCAGCCTGAGCGCGCAGCACGAGTCACGCGCTGTAGTGAAAGTTAAAAGGCAGAGCTGTTGGGACTTGCACAGACGCTGCAGCAGAGAGAGTGAGATTCTGTGATACTGCTCTTTTCTGGCTCTGGACTGTGACTCACAGAGCTGAGAGGAGTCCCGCTCTGTCTCGGTCTACATGTACTGTGTGTGTGTGTCTCTCGGTCTCGGTCTCGGTCTCGGTCTCGGTCTCGGTCTCGGTCTCTGTCTCTGTCTCTGTCTCTGTCTCTGTCTCTGTCTCTGTCTCTGTCTCTGTCTCTGTCTCTGTCTCTGTCTCTGTCTCTGTCTCTGTCTCTGTCTCTGTCTCTGCACTCCAAAAAATTAAGTGAAATAAAATCAATCAAAAAAAGTGAAAATTGCTCAAAATTGGCTCTTTTAATATGAGCACATTTTGACTGCCTTAAAACAAGATTTACCAATGAGATAAGCAAAATGATCTTGTTTTGAAAAAAATACAAGAAATGTCTCCCCTGGAATGAGAAAATAAAGCAGCAGTTCTTGAAATCAGACTAAATGGCTCTATCCCATTGGCACATCTTGTTTTAAGACCGTCCGAAAGTAAGGCAAGGCAAGGCAAGGCAAGGCAAGGCAAGTTTATTTGTATAGCACAATTCATACACAAGGCAACTCAAAGTGCTGAACAAGATAGCATTAAAATCATAAATAATTACAGAACATTAAAACGAAAGATAAAAATATAAAATCCCTCAGTTGTATGCACAGCTAAACAGCACCGTTTTTAACCTGGTTTTAAACATTGTCAGAGAGGAGGCCTGTCTCACATCTTCAGGAAGATTGTTCCAGATTTTAGCAGCATGAATCTGAAAAGCAGCCTCCCCATGTTTAGTTCTGACTCTGGGCACTAACAGGAGTCCAGTCC